GGTGCTGGGGCAGGTCTGAGCAGCCACCGAGTGACTTGAAGGAGCCTGGGGGCCCCCAGCAAACGCGCGTGTGAATGCCTGCCAAGTGGTGGGCACTGGGCTGCTCCAAGGCAAAGGGCTGGCTTGGCGGGGCAGGATCAGCAGGTCTGGCTGAGTGGGGGGGATTCATTCAGGAGGCAGGCAGCACGCCCCGGCACTGGCTGCCAGCGTATCGCCATTCCCACCCCCCCCCCAACCAGCTCCTGATGCAGCTCTCCTGCGTGGGGGCTGTCCCCCGAGATCCTGGGGGTCTCTAAAGCCACCTGCTGACTGTCCATGGGTGGGGAGTGCACAGGCCGGGTCCCACCACAGGAGCGTTGGTGTGGCCCAGCCCCAGGCTTTGTGTGCCTGTATGGCACTGAAGAGAGAAGGAGCCCGGGCAGGTCCTTTCCGTAGACAGCTCCTGATGCAGCTCTCCTGCGTGGGGGCTGTCCCCCGAGATCCTGGGGGTCTCTAAAGCCACCTGCTGACTGTCCATGGGTGGGGAGTGCACAGGCCGGGTCCCACCACAGGAGCGTTGGTGTGGCCCAGCCCCAGGCTTTGTGTGCCTGTATGGCACTGAAGAGAGAAGGAGCCCGGGCAGGTCCTTTCCGTAGACAGGGCTGGCCCCAGGGGAATGACCCGTGAGCTTTGTGATGCTCACAGAGCACTGGTGACAATCGGTGCCTCGGCCGGGGGCTGCTGGCTGCCACATGGCGCCTTCGGCCAGTGGTGCGCAGGCCACTGGGGACGGGGGCAGGGCCCAGGTGGGTGCATGAGAGGCTCTGTCCTAACAGGGAGAAGCTGCAGGTCGGGCTCCCTCCTGAACCCATCAGCTGGAGCTGCAGCAGCAGCAGGGGAAGAGCAGCCAGCTCCCAGCTGCGCTGTGCCCGTAGCCTGAATCTCTCCTGACCGTAGCAAGCCAACCTCCCCCCGCTCAGAGCAAGGGAGGGGTGCAGACAGCTCCGTTCTCCGCGGGGCTGGGGGAAGGCCACGGAGCCTAGATGCTGTGTGTCTCCCTGCAGCCCCCGCAGTACAAACTGGACCCTCGCCTGGCTCGCCTGCTGGGCGTGCACACCCAGACCCGGGCCAGCATCATGCAGGCGCTGTGGCTCTACATCAAACACAACAAGCTGCAGGACAGTCACGAGAAGGAGTACATCAACTGCAACCGCTACTTCCGCCAGGTGGGGCTCGCCTCTGCCAGCCTCCGCGTGACCCTGGCCCCGCCTGCCAAGGCGCCTTGGATCCCCAAATCAGCTCCACTTCCTGCTGTGCAGCCCGGGCGGGGGAGGGGAAGCTGTCATTGTGGGGTGTCCAGAGCTGCAGGGGCCCAGGGGGTCTGGCTGCTCTGCTACGTGCCTCCCTCACCGGGAGCATAACTAAGAGTTAACCAGCCTTGTACCCATCAGACTCTCAGGAGCGGCGCCCTCCCCTCCCAGGCGGAAGCCGTGCTCCTCTGGGGGCTGCTAATGCTCTGACTTGCCCCCCACTAGATCTTCAGCTGCATTCGCATGCGGTTCTCAGAGATCCCCATGAAGCTGGCCGGGCTGCTGCAGCACCCAGATCCCATCATCATCAACCACATGATCAGGTAGGGCCGGCCCCTCTGGTTAGTGCGCTCAGACGGGATGGGCAGGACTGGCTGAGTCGGGAGCGGGGGATACCCAGGTCTCCAGCCGGGGTCTGTTGGCCCCTAGCCGCCAGCCTCCCCTTCTGCCCCCAGCGTGGATCCCAGTGACCAGAAGAAGACAGCCTGCTACGACATCGATGTCGAGGTGGACGACCCCCTGAAAGCTCAGATGAGCAACTTCCTGGCCTCCACCACCAACCAGCAGGAAATCGCCTCTCTGGATGCTAAGGTTGGGGGTGTCGGTTCACTGCCCTAGGGCCCAGCCTTGCCCCCCAGAGCAGAGCCTGAACTGGGAATGGGCAGGTCTGGCTGGAGCGCAGCGCAGCGGGCAGCCTGTGAGAGCTGGGCTGGGCGAGAGGGAGGCTGCCCTGGCAGCTCACCCCCTGCCCAGGTAGGGAGATGCCAGTGGGGAGTTTTGGGGGGCGAGTTGCCTGGAAACAGGCAGCAGGAGCTGGGAGAAAATCCCTGGTCTGCACTCCCCACACTTCCTGTGCTGTGCCGCTGGGTCATGTCTGCGCAGCAGCGAGAGAGGCTGGACAAGGCGCACACGGGCAGAGGTTGCTGCTCCGGTCACCCTGCTTTCCCTTCCCATATGGGTCAGAGCCCTGCTCTTCGAGTAAGTGCTGAGAGCTGGGGCAAGGCCCAGGCTGGAACGTGCACCGAAGCCTCCCCCTCCCAGCCCCGACCGGGGCCAGGGTTAAGGAAGCAGATGGGAACTGGAATCCCTGGTGTCAGCTGCCCCGGGAGATACGCCCCCTAGAAGATGGGAGGGCCCCCAGTGTGCAGGGCTAGGCAAGGGGAGCATCGGGGCACGGGCCTGGCTTCGGGCTGCTGCCCCACGTGGCTCCTCAGCTTTGGCCCGGGGAGGAAAAGGCCCCCGGGGGCCCCTTGCAGCCTCTCCCTGGGCGCCGGAGGTCCTGGCTTTGGGCTAAGCACAGGGGCCCTGCCCCAGCTGGCGCCGTCTCACCAGGGTCTCTTGCCAGATCCATGAGACCATTGAGTCCATCAACCAGCTGAAGACGCAGCGAGATTTCATGCTGAGCTTCAGCAGCAACCCGCAGGACTTCATTCAGGAGTGGATCAAATCCCAGAGGAGGGACCTCAAGGTAAAACTGGGCCCCACCAGAGCCAAGCTGCAGTTGGGCAGGGCCGAGGCTCAGCTCCCACGGCAGGGCCTGCAGAACCAGCCTAGCCAGGGCTCTGCCAGGCCGCGAAACCCACTGCTGCTGGGGACTCAGCCACTAGCCTAGCCTGGCCCGGCTGGGGAGGACCAGTTGTCCGTCTGTCCCTGCATGGCCACTCTCGCTGGGGGAAGATCAGACCCATCTTGAGGCAAGGCAGAAATGCGGGTGGTGCACCCGAGAGCTGGGCTCCCTGCGTCCACCTGCCCCTTCCCCGGGACCCCTGCCGTAGCTCCGGGCTTCCTTCCCCAGCGGCTCGGCTGGCTGCTTGTGGCTGCTTTAGCTGGAGGGCCTGGGCTCTGGGCCCTGCAGCTCCTGCGTGGCTAGTGGAGTGGAACTCGGGGTGGGGTTGGGGGCTACCACCTGCTGCTGGGGCATCTGCCCCCCCAGCTCCTGCAGGGCGTGGGGGTGAGAGCGTCTGGGGCCCCCCACATTGGCCACTTGCCCCTCTGGGAATGCAGCACAGACATGAGGGTGGCGTTCTCGGGCCCCCGATCCCTGCGGTTAGACCCCTGGAATGTCAAGTGGGAACGCGACCTGGAGCGGAATGGGCAGGGCCCTAGGCACAGCCCCGGCTACTGGGGGCAGGGCACGCCTGGGCGCGTGCTGCCCTGCAGTGCCCCTTCCAGAAGGAGCTCAGCTGTGACCCCCGCCCTGCGTCTCACGGACCAGTCCCTCTCCCTGCAGATCATAACGGACGTGACTGGGAACCCCGAGGAGGAGAGAAGAGCTGACTTCTACCAGCAGCCTTGGGCGCAGGAGGCGGTGGGGAGGCACATCTTTGCCAAGGTGCGGCCCCAGCCTTGGCCCCTTGACTCTTCCCAGCATCCCCTCCTCCCCAGGGAATGCTGGAGGGGTAGGCCTGTCGCTGTGCCTCTTCCTGTGAGCTCTGGGTCAAACAGGATCCTGCCCCAGCCAGGGCTGGCACCTGGCAGTTTCCGCAGGATCAGAGCTCACCTCCTTCCTGCACTTCAGCCCTTCCCCCTCCACTGGAGTCCACACTTAGCTCTGTCCCTGCAGGCAGCCTGGCCAGAGTCTGGTCAATTTCACTGGGTGGGCATGAAACTGACCCAGCCCTGTGGGTTTCATTCACAGCTGCCTAGGCAACTGGCTGGCAGGTGCTAGAGCTCTCCCCATGGTGGAGCGGTGGGAGGGCTGGGATAGGTGAGATCCCGCCCCACAGCCTGCTGTGGGAATGGAATCAAGCCCGGGAGACCACAGCCTGCATGGGGGCCTCAAGCATCAGACCTCTTCAAAATCCTGAGCAGTCAGGGAATCGCCTCCCAGCAACAGGGCCACAGAGCCCAGCCTGCCGTCCTTTGTATGGGCCTGGGCGGGGAGAGGTTCTGGGGTGGTGGCTGAGCCAAGGGTCCCATTTCCATGCCAGTGAGACTGGGAGGTGGAGGCCACCCGAGGGCCAGGAGCCTGTGGCTGTCCCTGCCTCTCTCCCAGGCGAGGTCCCACAGCCCAGCTGACTTCCTGCCTCTCTGCCTTCCAGGTTCAGCATCGCAGACAGGAACTGGAACAAGTGCTTGGGATCCGCCTCACCTAATGGGCTGGGCCCGGCTGCGGGGCTTTGCTCTCTTGTGCCTGAGCCTTATGGTCCATCGTACTGGAATCAAATACAGCACTTGCACCAAGCCTGGGGGCAGGAAGCTGCAGCCAAAGGCA